TACACAATACCACCATAATCACTAGAAAACATTTTTTTAGATTGTTTAGCAAATGTATTGTAAATGAAATGCATAAATATCTAATTTACATAAGTATTCACACCACTTTGCAATGACACTCCAAATTGAGCTCCTGTGTATCCAATTTCCTTTGATCATCCTTGATGTCACTACAACTTGGAGCCCACCTGTGGCCAATTCAATTGTTTGGACATGATTTAGAAAGAAACACACCTGTCTATATATGGTCGTCTATATAGGGTCCTACAGTTGACAGTGCATGTCAGAGCAGAAACTATACCATGAAGTCCAAGGAACTGTCTCTCCGAAAATAGAATTGTGATGAGGCATATGTCTGGGGAAGGGTGTAAAACAATTTTTAGTGTTGTTAGCTTCCAAGAGCACAGTGGTCTCTATCATTGCGAAATAATATAAAAAATATGGAAGTACCCAGACTCTGCCTAGAGCTGGCCGTCCAACCAAACAGCAATCAGGCAAAAATTACTTTGGTCAGGGAGGTGACCAAGAACCCAATGACCACTCTGACAGAACTACAAGAGTTCCTTGGCTGAGATGGGAGAACCTGCCAGAAGGACAACAGTCACTACAGCACTTCACACCATTCTGAGCTTTATGGGAGTGGCCAGACGGAAGCCACTCCTAAGAAAAAAGGGACACCAGGAGCACACCTGGAGTTTGCAAAAAGTCATGTGAAAGACTGAGAGCATAAGGCAAAATATTATGTGGTCTGATGAGAAAAAAAGTTGATATCTTTGGCCTGAATGCAAAGCACTATGTCTGGAGAAAACCAGGCACAACTCATCACCCGTGTAACACCATCCATACCGTGAAGCATAGTGGTGGCAGCATCAAATGAAATTGTATTTGTCACATACACGTGTTTAGCAGATGTTATTGCGGGTGTAGCGAAATGCATCATGCTATGGGGATGCTTTTCAGCGGCAGGGACTGGGAGACAGGTAAGGATAGAGGGAACAATGAATGGAGCCAAATACAAGCAAATTCTTGATGAGAACCTGCTTCAGAGTGCGAATGACCTTAGACTGGGGTGAAGATTTATGTTCCAACAGGACAATAACGCAAGCACACAGCCAAAGCAACGCTGGCATGGCTTCAGAACAAGAATGTGAAAGTCCTTGAGTGGCCCAGCCAAAGCCCAGACTTAAATCTCATTTGAAAATATGTGGAAGAACTTGAAGATTGCTATTCACAGCCGCTCCCCCATCTAACTTAACAGAGTTTGAGAAAATCTGCAAGGAGGAATGGCTGAAAATCCACAAATCCAGATGTGCAAAGCTGAGGAGGTGTGATGTGTGGGGGTGCTTTGCTGTTGACATTGTCAGTGATTTATTTAGAATTCAAGGCACACCAAACCAGCATGGCTACCACAGCATTCTGCAGCGATACACCATCCCATCTGGTTTGCGCTTAGTGGGACTGTCATTTTGTTTTTCAACAGGACAATGACCCAACACACCTCCAGGCTGTGTAATGGCTATTTGACCAAGAAGGAGAGTGATCGAGTGCTGCATCAGATGACCTGGCCTCAACAATCACCTAACCTCAACCCAATTGAGATGGTTTGGGATGAGTTGGACCGCAGAGTGATGGAAAAGCAGCCAACAAGTGCTAAGCATATGTGGGAACTCCTTCAAGACTGTTGGAAAAGCATTCCAGGTGAAGCTGGTTGAGAGAATGCCAAGAGTGTGCAAAGCTGTCAGGCAAAGGGTGGCTACTATATATATTTATTTTGATTTTAACACTTTTTTGGTTACTACATGATTCCATATGTGTTATTTCATAGTTTTGATGTCTTAACTATTATTCTACAATGTAGAAAATAGTAAAAATAAAGAAAAACCCTGGAATGAGTAGCTGTGTCCAAACTCTTGACTGGTAGTGTATATCTACAGAAAAAAGGCAGATCCTGCTTCTGTTGCCTGTTTGGTTGATAGCCTACTGATTCCGTGAGCACCAAGCCTCACGCAGCAATTTCACAAATCCATCTGTGTTTAATCTTTGCTATGCTGTAATAAGGGCTTTACACTTTTCATTAGACCAGCCTCTGGTATTATTTATTTAGTGTTTACACTGTTCCAAATTGTCAGAAAAAAATATGTTTGTTATTATTATTATTATGATCATTATAATAATAAGTAATGTCATTATCATTACTAGGCTTATTATAGTAGCCTTGTATAACCACCATCGAGCTGTAGGCCTAAGAGCGCATCCTGTTTAGTCTTAATACCGTAACTTACTTAGGCCTATATTTCAATAGTTTATATAGGCTACTGTATCAATCATGTCATCACACAGCATACGAGTCATTCATGATGTGAAATGCAATCAAACATTTTAGATTGAAAATAAAATAACAAAGTGACCATTGAATAATTAGCGTAAACAATAAATAGGCGTAAACCGCTACATTTCGGGAAATTGCATTCACGAATGAATGCGACTGTTTTTAGTCTTTGCTGTAATAAAGGCTTGACAAAACTTAAAAAAAGACTTATTTTATTTAGTGTTTACATTGTTCCAAACGGGAACAAGGGTTGAGGGAATAGGGAATGTTTTTCCTAAACAAATTAGGGATTTCTGTAACAACTTTTCATTCAGAAATGGCTATAATTATGTTTCAGCTTAAGCAACACGGACAGCACTATACACACTGATGTTCTGTGGTGGTCGCTGCAGCAGGGAGGAGAGCTGAGACAACGGGTGCTAGTCACAAAGTCACTCACTTTTTTTTTCGCAGCAAGTCTGAGACAGTCTGCACAATCAAATCAATTGCGGTTGGAGTCCCTCTAATCATTTGTGTCTTAATTATTTCATCACACAGTTAGTTTAATGCATCAGACAACCTCAGTGCATATAGTTGATTTGATTAAAAAACATAGGATTTGTCTATATATGGAAAAATACACATTTTGAACTTTCGGCCAATCGATTGGTCGAAAGAACAGACAACTCTTGGTCGACCAATATTATTTTTTTCCGGACAGCCGTACTCTGTACACCTCAACAGTACTCTAATATACATCTCTTTACACCTTAGTAGTACTCTAATATACATCTCTTTACACCTTAGTAGTACTCTAATGTACAGTGCCTAGCAAAAGTATTCATCCCCCTTGGCGTTTTTTTCCAATTTTGTTGCATTACAACCTGTAATTTAAATGGATTTTTATTTGGATTTCATGTAATGGACATACACAAAATAGTCCAAATTGGTGAAGTGAAATGAAGAAAATAATAACTTTTTTCCAAACATTCTAAAAAATAAATAACGGAAAAGTTGTGCGTGCATATGTATTCACTCTCTTTGCTATGAAGCCCCTAAATAAGATCTGGTGCATAATTAGTTAAATAAAGTCCACCTGTGTGCAATCGAAGTGTCACATGATCTGTCACATGATCTCAGTATATATACACCTGTTCTGAAAGGCCCCAGAGTCTGCAACACCATTAAGCAAGGGGCACCACCAAGCAAGCGGCACCATGAAGACCAAGGAGCTCTCCAAACAGGTCAGGGACAAAGTTGTGGAGAAGTACAGATCAGGGTTGGGTTATAGAAAAATATCTGAAACTTTGAACATCCATTATTAAAAAATGGAAAGAATATGGCACCACAACAAACCTGCCAAGAGAGGGCCGCCCACCAAAACTCACGGACCAGGCAAGGAGGGCATTAATCAGAGAGGCAACAAAGAGACCAAAGATAACCCTGAAGGAGCTGCAAAGCTCCACAGCGGAGACATATACTCCAGTCTATAGGACCACTTTAAGCCGTACACTCCACAGAGCTGGGCTTTACGGAAGAGTGGCCAGAAAAAAGCCATTGCTTAAAGAAAAAAATAAGCAAACACATTTGGTGTTCGCCAAAAGCGATGTGGGAGACTCCCCAAACATATGGAAGAAGGTACTCTGGTCAGATGAGACTAAAATTTAGTTTTTTGGCCATCAAGGAAAACACTGTCTGCGCAAACCCAACACCTCTCATCACCCCGAGAACACCATCGGCAGGGACTGGGAAACTGGATAGAATTGAAGGAATGATGGCGCTAAATACAGGGAAATTCTTGAGGGAAACCTGTTTCCGTCTTCCAGAGATTTGAGAATGGGACGGAGGTTCACCTTCCAGCAGGACAATGACCCTAAGCATACTGCTAAAGCAACACCCGAGTGGTTAAAGGGGAAACATTTTAAATGTCTTGGAATGGCCTAGTCAAAGCCCAGACCTCAATCCAATTGAGAATCTGTGGTATGACTTAAAGATTGCTGTACACCAGCGGAACCCATCCAACTTGAAGGAGCTGGAGCAGTTTTGCCTTGAAGAATGGGCAAAAATCCCAGTGGCTAGATGTGCCAAGCTTAAAAAGACATACCCAAAGAGACTTGCAGCTGTAATTGCTGCAAAAGGTGGATCTACAAAGTATTGACTTTGGGTGGGGCGGGGGGTGAATAGTTATGCACGCTCAAGTTTTCTGTTTTTTTGTCTTACTTCTTGTTTGTTTCACCCCCAAAAATATTTTGCATATTCAAAGTGGTAGGCATGTTGTGTAAATCAAATGATACAAACCCCCCAAAAAATATATTTTAATTCCAGGTTGTAAGGCAACAAAATAGAGAAAATGCCAAGGGGGGTGAATACTTTCGCAAGCCACTATACATATCAACAGTATTCTAATATACATCTCTATACACCTCAAGGTACTCTTATACACAGTGAGCTCCAAAAGTATTGGGACAATGTATTGGATCTGTACTCCAGCACTTTGGATTTGAAATTATACATATTGGGTGAATAGTTTAGAAATTACAGCATTTATAGTCCTCTAATATGCATGTCTATATACCTCAATAGTACTCTAATATACATCTCTATACACCTCAATAGTACTCTAATATACATCTCTATACACCTCCGTAGTACTGCTCATCCGCTTATTTCAGCTTGTCATTGGTGGTGCTAGCTGTCATTCTATGGGGTATCCACTAAAGTCACTCTCTCCTCCTCTCAGCCCGGTGAGAGCCCTGGTGAGGAGTGGAGGAGAGAAAAGAGGGATCTGGAGAGGAAGATGATGGAGCTACAGACCTCCCTACAGGAGGAGAGGAGGGTGAGTGGAGGAGAGGAGGAGAAAAAGAGGAAGGAGTGATAATTTGGGACGTGATGGAAAGAGTGGAGCGATGGTGTATGTTTGGCACCTAGGGAGCTCTCCAGTGAGCTGTAATGAGAGAGCTGTTTCAACAGTACACACACCAGCTGAGCCCACCGTGTGTCTGTGTTTTCTGAGAGGCGCTGCTGTTTTGGTTTTTAGTGGGAGTCTAATCTGAATAAGTGCCATAAAAACCCTGTAAATGGGCCACAGATTATTTAAAACAGTTTAAACTAAAACCTGTTGGGTTAAAGGTGGACACACCCACACAGCATTCTATCTGATAATGAGTCATTATGTGTTGGAATCAGCCCAGAGTTGGGCTGGTATTTAACTCTTAACACCCTATAATCACTTAATCATGGATGTGAATTCTACCGAGGAAACAAGCAAGCCTGTCTGACACTATTCTAAAGAACACCCAGACCCAGAAAGAACTGTACAGAACAAGCACAGAGAGAAAATATGTAGAGCACACGTTTCAATAGAGAATCATGCCTGTTCTACAAAACATTTCTAATGGTGTAATTAAAATACTACCTCTCTTTGTCACCTCCACACTGTCTGTCGTCTGATGTTGTTGCTATTTGTGGTTGTTGTCATGTAGCCTACAGTACAGGTCTGTGTGTGCATAGGGCTCTGTGGGCAGGTCTGATCCTGTGTTAAAGGCAGAGCTGGAGTCATGTCTGGATGAGAACATGCAGCTCCAGGAGACTCTGGACAAGAAGAAGACTGAACTACACCAGACACACTCAGAGTGAGTAACAGTGACCAGGACAAATGACCTGGGTAGAACGAAACAGTGAGTGGAACCAGGCAGGTTGAGACTGATTCCAGGCCGCTGGATCATAGCTAAAGGTCCCTGATGGTTATAAAGTATGGCTTATTGAAAGGTTCTTTGTTAGTGTTGATGTAAAGAGCATCAGATCTGTTTGTAAAATAGATTTTATCTCAATGATAATAACCTGTATAAATAAAGGTTAAGTTAATAAATCAAGTGTCTCTGTCAGGCTGAGTCAGTTGCATATGGAGAGAGAGAGTGCTGAGTCCAGAGTCAGAGAGATGGAGGACCAACTGGTTGAACTGCAGGAGGAGCTGAGGAGAGAGGATGGCAACAAGACGGTAACACAACACACACACACACACACATTTGGGTGGTCTTGGTCTTGAGACACAAGATCTTTGTAATTGTCCTGTAGGAATGTGTTAACTGTGTGTGTTGTGTGTCTGCAGGACCTGGTGACGTGCCAAGCGTCTCTGTCTGAGGTGTCCATGTTGAAGCAGAAGCTGGAGGATTCTCTGAGACAGAGAGAGAGGGAGCTGACAGCCCTGAAGGGAGCTCTGAAGGACGAGGTGGCCACGCACGACAAAGAGATTGAGACGCTCCGAGAACAGTACAGCACTGACATGGAGAGACTGAGGAGTACCATGGAGCAGGTGTCACAGGTACACACACACAAGGTTCAAAGTTTATTCACCACATCCACAGGATACAACAGGTTTAAAACAGTACAGTGAAATTTCCCAAGAAGAGCTCTTTCCCACACGCGCACGCTGAGGGAGCAGCAGAGCGTAAAGTGATTGAAACCCACTGGACTTGCTTCACACAAAGGAGCATTATAGCAGGAACAACAAGTGATTACACAAAGTTACGTTTGACTGTACAGACAAAGCCACAAGACAAACAGTAGGTCAGCTGATCTCACATTCTTACAGTGACACGTCTTACTCCTCCTCTCTCCCCTCCCGCTCTCTCCCCTCCCGCTCTCTCCTCTCCCGCTCTGCTCTCTCCCCTCCCGCTCTGCTCTCTCCCCTCCCGCTCTCTCCTCTCCCGCTCTGCTCTCTCCCCTCCCGCTCTCTCCCCACACTCTCTCCTTCTCCCCCCTCCCCCCTCGCTCTCTCTCCCCAGTCTCAGGCAGGTATCGAGGCAGAGCGGTTGCGTGTGAATGCATCAGTGCGTACTCTACAACAGCAGCTGGAAGACTGCAGGGACGAGAGTGGCCACTGGATGGAGCAGTTTCACAGTACTAGAGATGAACTACGGACCACCAAACAGGAGTGAGTACACGCACACAGGCTCTTCACTCTCTGTGTTAAACCACTTACGGCTGTGTTAAACCACTTACGGCTGTGTTAAACCACTTACGGCTGTGTTAAACCACTTACGGCTGTGTTAAACTTTAGCCTACAATTTCCGCATCCCCTTGTGGAAATCGAATTAACATAATAAAAAAATCCCATCAATCCGTCTGTTTAAGCTAGAGATATGTGTTTTTTTTGCATGGGCTGTGTCTCAATCCACCGCATCCGCTGATATCGCTATTCCATCTGCGGTGAAAAGTGGCAGAGCAAGAGCGGTGTTTGTTAGACCAGGAGACATCCCGAAAACTGGTCTTCTCACAAAAACTTCTGTAGTGTACGAACTATTGAAAGATGAGACGATCACGAAAGTGATGGTGTTTTGCTCTAGGACTCTCACAAGACTGGTCTGAAGTCAGTACATCCTCTTCTGCCAACTTCTGTCTGAAGCGTCCGAACGGTTTGGACTCCTCTGAAGGCCCCCGGTACCAGTTTAAAAAATGAATGGAAATATATATGGAGATAGTTTAGAGCCTAAAAGAAATCTCAGATATAGAACAGATACTTCAGAACAAACTTCCTTTTAGATTTTTTTTTTTTTTACTATCTGTTGTTCCATGTAGTGAATCTGTTATTCAATGTTTTTCTATTGGCTAATAACAGTATTACGAAAATCCATCCAGAATTATTTTTGATACCTTAAGGGGTCTTCAAAATCAAATAGCTAAATAATCCTTGGTATGACCATCTTAAAACAACCCCCCCCTCTCTGGTTTAGACAGGGTTTTAATAGCTGTGGTCAATATCTGTGGTTAATAGTGTAACTGTCTATAACTGTGTAGTTTGAGTGACATTGTAGTTAAACCAGCTTCCGTGTTTCTCTATTTGACAGACTGTTGACTGAAGAAATGGTGATATCATAGAATGACCTAATTTTAACAACAACAACAACAAAAACTTTTGATCGACTTTGATGAACTGATATCAGCAATGGAGATTGAACTGTAGCGTCTGTGATCAAACTAAACGATGTCTGATTAGTGCTTATCAGTGACTTGATTTATAGATTTTGAAATGGATCTTGTAGTGGTTAAAATATTGTGTGTTGCAGGATACTGCAGGCTCGTCTGGAGAAAGAGGAGCTTGAGGAAGAGCTGAATGAACTACAGGAGAGAGTCAACACCATGAAACAGAAGATACCAGATCCCAGTCATACACACACACTCAACCAGGTACACACACACACACACACACTGATACTGACAAACACACACACTCAACAAGGTACACACTGACACTGTTCTCCACTGTCCTTTCAGGAGCTGCAGAGTTTGCGTGCCGATCTGCAGCAGGCCCAATCAGAGGCAGAGAAGAAAAGGGTGGAGCTCGATAAAAAGGTAATGGAGGTAATCTCCCTGAAGAAGGCCAACCAGGAGCAGGAGGCGGAGCTGAAGTATGAGATGGACAGGCTGAGGGACCAATCAAATCGAGCCAAAGAGGATCTGGCCAAGGCCCAGGAGAAAACCAAACGGGTGTGTGTTGTGTAGTACCATCTACAGTGAGGGGAAAAAAGTATTTGATCCCCTGCTGATTTTGTACGTTTGCCCACTGACAAAGAAATGATCAGTCTATAATTTTAATGGTCGGTTTATTTGAACAGTGAGAGACAGAATAACAACAACAAAATCCAGAAAAACGCATGTCAAAAATGTTATAAATTGATTTGCATTTTAATCAGGGAAATAAGTATTTGACCCCCTCTCAATCAGAAAGATTTCTGGCTCCCAGGTGTCTTTTATACAGTTAACGAGCTGAGATTAGGAGCACACTCTTAAAGGGAGTGCTCCTAATCTCAGTTTGTTACCTGTATAAAAGACACCTGTCCACAGAAGCAATCAATCAATCAGATTCCAAACTCCACCATGGCCAAGACCAAAGAGCTCTCCAAGGATTTCAGGGACAAGATTGTAGACCTACACAAGGCTGGAATGGGCTACAAGACCATCGCCAAGCAGCTTGGTGAGAAGGTGACAACAGTTGGTGCGATTATTCGCAAATGGAAGAAACACAAAATAACTGTCAATCTCCCTCGGCCTGGGGCTCCATGCAAGATCTCACCTCGTGGAGTTGCAATGATCATGAGAACGGTGAGGAATCAGCCCAGAACTACACGGGAGGATCTTGTCAATGATCTCAAGGCAGCTGGGACCATAGTCACCAAGAAAACAATTGGTAACACACTACGCCGTGAAGGACAGAAATCCTGCAGAGCCCGCAAGGTCCCCCTGCTCAAGAAAGCACATATAGATGCCCGTCTGAAGTTTGCCAATGAACATCTGAATGATTCAGAGGAGAACTGGGTGAAAGTGTTGTGGTCAGATGAGACCAAAATGGAGCTCTATGGCATCAACTCAACTCGCCGTGTTTGGAGGAGGAGGAATGCTGCCTATGACCCCAAGAACACCATCCCCACAGTCAAACATGGAGGTGGAAACATTATGCTTTGGGGGTGTTTTTCTGCTAAGGGGACAGGACAACTTCACCGCATCAAATGGACGATGGACGGGGCCATGTACCGTCCAATCTTGGGTGAGAACCTCCTTCCCTCAGCCAGGGCATTGAAAGTGGGTCGTGGATGGGTATTCCAGCATGACAATGACCCAAAACACACGGCCAAGGCAACAAAGGAGTGGCTCAAGAAGAAGCACATTAAAGTCCTGGAGTGGCCTAGCCAGTCTCCAGACCTTAATCCCATAGCAAATCTGTGGAGGGAGCTGAAGGTTCGAGTTGCCAACGTCAGGCTCGAAACCTTAATGACTTGGAGAAGATCTGCAAAGAGGAGTGGGACAAAATCCCTCCTGAGATGTGTGCAAACCTGGTGGCCAACTACAAGAAACGTCTGACCTCTGTGATTGCCAACAAGGGTTTTGCCACCAAGTACTAAGTCATGTTTTGCAGAGGGGTCAAATACTTATTTCCCTCATTAAAATGCAAATCAATTTATAACATTTTTGACATGTGTTTTTCTGGATTATTTTGTTGTTATTCTGTCTCTCACTGTTCAAATAAACCTACCATTAAAATTATAGACTGATCATGTCTTTGTCAGTGGGCAAACGTACAAAATCAGCAGGGGATCAAATACTTTTTTTCCCTCACTGTATGTAACTGGGAAAGATGGCCACTTTCCCTCCCTTATGTTCACCATCTCCATCCTTCTCTCAATCACTCACCTCTCCTTTGTTTCTCTCCATAGCTCCCTGACCCGTCGGTAGTGTCTGGCCTGCAGTCAGAGCTGACTGATGCTCGTGGGGAGAGAGACAGACTGGGAGAGAAACTCTCCAGCACTGAGCAGGAGCTGCAGTCCAACACAGAGCGGCTGGCCAGAACCCAGACAGAACTAAACGCTCTCAGAGACTCACAGCAGGAGCAGGAGGAGGCTAACACACGCCTCCGAGAGAAACTCTCACGCCTGGAGGTGAGACCTACACACACAGTCTTAACTCTTTCTCACAACTCTTTCTTAGTGGGTGTTAGTTGTGTTTTACAGTATGTAAATGTGCGTGTACCCCCAGGCCCAGCTGGCGTCCAGTGCGTCAGAGAGTTCGGAGGCAGAGCTGTCCCTCCAGGCGGAGTTGAGGGGGCTGAGGCAGGAGCTTGACGAGGCCAGGAGAGGAGCCTCTCGGCTGGGCCAGGACCACCGGCAGCTCAGCCTGCGTCTGGAGGAGAGGGAGAAGGAGAGGGACCAGCTCACACACACCAACACACAGCTGGAGGAACAGAGGAGACAGCAGGAGCGGTCCCTGGACAAACTCAATAAGGAGGTGGAGAGTGTCTACATGTTCTTCTGATGCTCTGTGTACTGCATTGAAGTTACAAATGTACAATGTGCAGATAAAAATCTATCTTTCTCTGTGTCGCTCTCTCTCTCTGTATATCTCTCTCTCTCTCTGTGTCTCTGTCGCTCTCTCTCTCTCTCTCTCTGTGTCGCTCTCTTTCTCTGTGTCGCTCTCTCTGTGACTCTCTCGTTCTGTCTCTTTCTGTCTGTCTCTTTCTCTGTCTCTCTCTTTCTCTGTCTTTCTCTTTCTCTGTGTGTCTCTCTCTCTGTGACTCTCTCGTTCTGTCTCTTTCTGTCTCTCTCTTTCTCTGTGTCTCTCTCTTTCTCTGTGTCTCTCTTTCTCTGTGTCTCTCTCTGTCTCTCTCTTTCTCTGTGTCTCTTTCTCTGTGTCTCTCTCTTTCTCTGTGTCTCTCTCTTTCTTTCTCTGTGTCTCTCTTTCTCTGTCTCTCTTTCTCTGTCTGTCTCTCTGTATCTCTCTCTCTCTGTGTCTCTGTGTCGCTCTCTTTCTCTGTCTCTGTCTCTCTCTCTCTCTCTCTCTCTCTCTCTCTCTCTCTCTCTCTCTCTCTCTCTCTCTCTCTCTCTCTCTCTCTCTCTGTGTGTGTGTCTCGTCCTCCCTCATTCTCTCTCCATGTAGTTTGAGTCTCTGTCCCAGTCGTCTGGTGAGGAGGTGCAGGTTCTGAGGGCCCAGCTGGAGGAACAGAGAGAGAGATCTCGCAGGGAGACACAGGAGGCCCAGAGGCAGGGCAACGACAGACTGGTAGAACTGGAGAGGAGCCAGACCTCCCTCAAGAGACTGGAGGAGGAGGTGAGAGGGAGGGAGGGAGGGAGGAGGAGACTGAGGAGGAGGAGGAAAGGGTCTTCAGGAGGTAATGATATAGATCAGGGGCATTCAACTCTGACCCTACGAGGTCCAGAGCCTGCTGCTTTTCTGTTCTACCTGATAATGAATACCACCCACCTGATGTCCCAGGTCTAAATCAGTTCCTCATTAGAGGGGAACAATGAAAAAACGCAGTGGAACTGGCTTCGAGGTCCAGAGTTGAGTTTGAGGGGTGTAGGTGTTTCGTCTTGTTTGACGCTGATCCAGTGTGTGTGTGTGTCGTGCGCCAGGCGTCCCGTCAGAAGAAGGAGCTGCTCTCTGTGGTTGAGGAGAGAGACACTGCTCAGCTGGACAAGGAGCTGCTCACCAACCGCCTGCACCACCTAGAGGCTGAACTGGAGAACAGCAGGAGCAGCCTCACAGACAAGAGCAGGGAGCTCCGCAGCACAGAGGACAAGATGAAACGACTGGAGCTGGAGCTGGAGGAGGAGAAGGGATCTGTGGAGCTACTCACTGACAGAGTCAACAGGACCAGAGACCAGGTACACACGCGCGCACACACACACACAAAATAGAAATGTGTGTCTAGCAGCTTTCACCGGTCTGTTGGTTGAAAGAACCAGGCCCAGGCTAGGAAAATAATGTATTTATTAACTCTCTCTCTCGTCTCCTCTCTCTCTCTCTCGTCTCCTCTCTCTCTCTCTCTCTCGCTCTCTCTTTCGTCTCCTCTCTCTGTGTGTGTGAAGATAGAGCAGCTGCGTTCAGAGCTGATGCAGGAGAGATCCTCCAGACAGGACCTGGAGCTGGACAAGAATGCCCTAGAAAGACATGTACGTTTAGTCTGTGTCTCCACTGAAATTGCCTTAATGTCTAAGAGTGATGATTGATTATGCTTCAATATCGCTCTCTCTCTCTCTCTCTCCAGATGAAGGAGTTGAAGACCAGAGTATCTGATATGGAGGGTCAGTCTCGTTCCTCAGTAGGAGTGGCTCAGCTGGAGAGTAAAGTTCACGAGTTGGAGGAACGCCTCCACAGCGAGGATAGGTACACAGCACACTACACATCCCACAATGCACCACACCCAGGTACTACAGACCCCACAATGCACCACAGAGTCTAGAATATGATATATATGGTTGGTACGGTGGTTTGCCATTAGTTAGAGAAGTGTAGCACTGCGGTACCTCACTTCAAATTGAGATTCACATTATTGATGACAAGTGAAGCTTATGGTATGATATTATGAACTGGTCACACATCTGCACCCAGAATCACCTTGTTCATGTTTGTGCTAAAGATTTAAATGTGTGTGTGTGTCTGTCTTAGGGAGAAGAACTCCATGTTGTCGTCTCAGCGTCGCCTGGAGAAGAAACTGAAGGAGCTCAACTTTACCCTGGAGGAAGAGAGACAACAACACACAGAGCAGCGAGACCAGGTATGCATACACACACCAGTGGAGGCTGCTGAGTGGAGGACGGCTCATAATAATGGCCGGAACGGAGCAGATGGAATGGCATCAAACACCTGGAAACCATGTGTTTGATGTATTTGTTACCTTTCCCCTATTCCGCTCCAGTCATTAACATGAGCCCATTCTCCCCAATTAAGGTGCCACCAACCTCCTGAGACACACACACACACACACACACACACACACACACACACACACACTCACCCTGACTGTGTCCTCTGTTGTAGCTGTCTCTGCGTGTGAAGGCTCTGAAGAGACAGGTGGATGAGGGGGAGACAGAGGTAGAGAGGATGGAGGGATTGAGGAGGAAGGCCCAGAGAGAGATGGAGGAACAGATGGAACTAAAGGAGGCCTTACAGGGCAGAGTCACCGCGCTGGAGACTGAGCTCAAGTAAGTCTGTGTGTGTTATTGTGTTTCCACGTCTCACACACTCTACCTGATCCACTTAGATGACTAAGTATCTCCTTTCTCCTAGATGTGGATCTTCTTATGGACCAGCCCAATTATCTCTCTTCTCCTCCACTCCTCCAGACCTCTTTCTGTTCCTCTCTTCTCCTCCACTCCCTCCAGACCTCTTTCTGTTCCTCTCTTCTCTTCCACTCCCTCCAGACCTCTTTCTGTTCCTCTATTCTCCTCCACTCCCTCCAGACCTCTTTCTGTTCCTCTCTTCTCTTCCACTCCTCCAGACCTCTTTCTGTTCCTCTCTTCTCTTCCACTCCTCCAGACCTCTTTCTGTTCCTCTCTTCTCCCTCCAGACCTCTCTGTTCCTCTCTTCTCCCTCCAGACCTCTTTCTGTTCCTCTCTTCTCCTCAACTCCCTCCAGACCTCATTGGTCATGAGTTCAGTATGCATGACATTTACTGGCAGCCTGTCCACTCCACACAGCCGTGTGTGTATCATTCTATGGATCACTGAGGTCCTCTCTGAGCCCTCAACAGAGATGATGCTATTACACACACGTCATTACAGAATAAAGAAGTCTGATTCAAACACACACACTTTGGCAGTCACACTCACCCAGGTGTGTAAAGGTGTCTCATTTAAACCCCACTCAACAGTGCTGTGGGAACACACACACACACACACTACCAGTCAAAAGTTTGGACACACCTACTCATTCAAGGGTTTTTCTTTATTTGTACTATTTTTTACATTGTAGAATAATAGTGAAGACATCAAAACTATGAAATAACACACATGGAATCATGTAGTAAACAAAAAAGTGTTAAACAAATCAAAGTATATTTTATATTTGAGAATCTTCAAATAGCCACCCTTTGCCTTGATGACAGCTTTGCACACTCTTGGCATTCTCTCAACCAGCTTCATCTGGAATGCTTTTCCAACAGTCTTGAAGGAATTCCCACATATGCTGAGCACTTGTTGGCTGCTTTTCCTTCACTCTGCGGTCCGACTCATCCCAAACCATCTCAATTTGGTTGAGGTCGGGGGATTGTGGAGGCCAGGTCATCTGATGCAGCACTCCATCACTCTCCTTCTTTGTAAAATAGCCCTTACACAGCCTGGAGGTGTGTTGGGTCATTGTCCTGTTGAAAAACAAATGATAGTCCCACTAAGCCCATACCAGATGGGATGGCATATCGCTGCAGAATGCTGTGGTAGCCATGCTGGTTAAGTGTGCCTTGAATTCTAAATAAATCACAGACAGTGTCACCAGCAAAGCACCCCCACACCATAACACCTCCTCCATGCTTTACGGTGGGAAATACAAATGCGGAGATCATCCGTTCACCCACACTGCGTCTCACAAAGACACGGCGGTTGGAACCCAAAATCTCACATTTGGACTCCAGACCAAAGGACACATTTCCACCAGTCTAATGTCCATTGCTCGTGTTTCTTGGCCCAAGCAGGTCTCTTCTTATTATTGGTGTCCTTTAGTAGTGGTTTCTTTGCAGCAATTCGACCATGAAGGCCTGATTCACACAGTCCCCTCTGAACAGTTGATGTTGATATGTGTCTGTTACTTGATATGTGTCTGTTACTTGAACTCTGTGAAGCATTTATTTGGGCTGCAATTTCTGAGGCTGGTAACTCTAATGAACTTATCCTCTGCAGCAGAGTTAACTCTGGGTCTTCAATTCCTGTGGCGGTCCTCATGAGAGCCAGTTTCATCATAGCGCTTAATGGTTTTTGCGACTGCACTTGAAGAAACTTTAAAAGTTATGGAAATGTTCCGTATTGACTGACCTTCATGTCTTAAAGTAATGATGGACTGTTGTTTTTCTTTGCTTATTTGAGCTGTTCTTGCCATAATATGGACAAATAGGGCTATCTTCTGTCACAACACAGCTGATTGGCACAAACGCATTAAGAAGGAAAGAAATTCCACAAATTAACTTTTAAGAAGGCATACCTGTTAATTGAAATGCATTCCAGGTGACTACCTCATGAAGCTGGTTGAGAGAATGCCAAGAGTGTGCAAAGCTGTCATCAAGACAAAGGGTGGTTATTTGAAGATAAAATATATTTAGATTAGTTTAAAAAAAAATTGGTTACTACATGTGTTATTTCATAGTTTTGATGTCTTCACTATTATTCTACAATGTAGAAAATAGTAAAATAAAGAAAAACCCTGGAATGAGTAGGTTTGTCCAAACTTTTGACTGGTACTGCACGTGCAGGTCAGCAGTGACAGGGGGGTAGAGACTGCTCTAGTAGGCAGAGGGCTCTCTCCCTGACAGATACTACAGGAAACTACACTGTCTACTGTAGAACTCAACTGTCTACTCCTACATGTTTGCCGAGACCCACCTACAGCCTCTGTTCTAGTGAACAAAAGATGATGAAGGAAATATTTCTGAAGCTGATGATGATGGTGTTGTGTTTCAGGAGGAAGGTGCAGCAGGCACAGCGTCAGGCCCTGGACTCGTCGGCTCTGAGCTCTGAGGAAGAAGATGATGAAGGCCTGTACGACACCTCCAGCATCACCTCCATCCTCACTGGGAGCAACCTACACACCAGCTCCTGCTAGAGGGAGGGGGGGGTAATGGTGGTGCTAGTGGTGGTAGTAGTAGGATAAAAAGGGGGTATTCTGAGCACTATAGAGAAAAGGAAAAGGAGAAGGAGGGAAGAATGTAGGAGGATAGAGGGAAGGAGGGAGGGAGGTGGATTAAAGGGAGTATTTTAAGCACTACAGGGTTGTAGGGAGGGAGGGTAGTAGTGGGAGAGAGGGGGTTATTCTAAGCACTACAGATAGACATCTACACACAGGTACAGGACACTGGGACAGGTCTATGGACCTGCTATAAAAACACTGTCTGAAGGAGGGAGGGAGGGATCACAGGTTCAGGGAGAAGGAGAGGAGGATGACTCACTACACTGGACAGTAGACTCCTAGTGGTACTGAAGTGGAGGATTGTGGGGGTGAATAAGCTCAGATGCCCAGGAGGAATACAAGACAATATACATTTATACCGTAACAGAACACTAGCACATTCTCCCCTAGAGAAGAACAGGCAGTATGACTCACTGTCTAAAGCACTTACAATGACTTACAGGACTGACTGACTGACTTACAGGACTGACTGACTGACTTACAGGACTGACTGACTGACTTACAGGACTGACTGATGACTGACTGGCTTACAGGACTGACTGACTTACAGGACTGACTGACTTATAGGACTGACTGACTTATAGGACTGGCTGACTTATAGGACTGGCTGACTTATAGGACTGGACTATAGACGGCGACTATGGACTCCGATTATAGACTCGCTGATTGGACCGTGACTTATAGGATGACTGACTTAAATACTGATTACAGGATCGCTGACTTACAGGACTCGCAGAATTACAGACTGTGACTTAGGACTCCTGACTTATAGGATCGCTGACTTATTAGGACTGCTTGACTATAGACTGGCTGACTTTGGACTCACTGACTTATAGGACTGGATTTAGGCTCGCTGACTTAGGACTGACTGACTATAGGATGGACTTATAGGACTCACTGACTTATAGGACTCGCTGACTTATAGGACTCGCTGACTTATAGGACTCGCTGACTTATAGGACTGACTGACTTATAGGACTCACTGACTTACAGGACTCACTGACTTATAGGACTCACTGACTTACAGGACTGACTTATAGGACTGACTGACTTACAGGACTGTCTGACTTTACAGGACTGACTGACTTACAGGACTGAACAGTAAAACACTATGGTACTCTTCAATATCAGCATTACTCTGTGATACTCTATTGTATGCTACAATACTGTAATTACTATGGTGCTCTTTAATACGCAGAATTACACTGTGGTACTCTTCAATATTCTGTGGTACTGTTTAATACTGTAATTATTATGGTACTCTTCAATACTCTATTACTCTACTGAAAAGGAGTTTGGTCACACTGACTGAGTACTGATAGGACCAACCACACGGACATGTACTGTGAATATTTGACACTAGCTGGTTAATGTCTACTATCACTGGGTAAACACTGTTTAATCTGATGCTACTGGTGTCTTGTCACACTGACCTGATGCACAGCAACTGTGCAGCTGCAAACACTATTCCTTACATTCCTTAATGGATATCCGATATGCAAGTTAAGTTTTTAAAACCTGGTTGGAATAAATACTGACAAATATATGAGAATGATGAACAAATGAGATCATTTGTCTAACAAATGAAATCAACAATATTCTACTGAATGTGATGTCAAAGTAATCATAGTTTTATAAACCAAATCTGACAGTTGATTCCTATTCTGCTGTATGTTCTACTACTTGACTGCCTGCCACTACAGATGCATGTATGGAGTTTGCTCTGATACCAATCCTCTCGCCATTTTTTCACACACTTTACACATTGTATCTGTAGCATCTGTGCACAACTTCTATGCAGTCCTTACAGTTCATACTCTGAGAAGCCTGTGAAGATCTTAGTCACTCGGCCTTAAAAGTTGTTTAAATGATTTTGTAATGGATAATTTTCAGTTCTACTTATTGTTATTTCGGTGTACTCTGGATAGATTTTTGTAAATTATTTGTTTCTATTTAATTCGTTTTGGGGGAGATCTGAGATCTTGTATTTTCAATCAATGAACGTTACCATTGTAAATTAAATGATAGTTACCACTGTAAATTAAATTGCTGCGATGTTCATATCTTCCAACTGTTCAGTTGGCTTGAAAGACTGTATACAGTATGGTACCCTGTTTCTTGTATGCTACAAATACTTACTGTTTCTATCTGTATGGCTTCTGTTGTAACTATGAGTATAGGGGATGGTACATGATCATTACTGATTAGTCATTTTATACTGTGAATTTGTACTTCACAATACTAATCTGTTTTCTATTGAATTAAATATTGCACAGCAATCAAATTCATTGTCTTTCTGGCACAAGTTGAAACGACACCCAATAACCCACCACTCTGTCAGCCTTCCATGGAATGGACTTTGTTTCACTGTGTTATTTTCTTTGGAAGGAGAGCCCTCTTTAGCTGGAACGCAAATGGGCATAGTTATACATCATAAACCACATAGTTATGTACCTCCTTTAATCTTCCTTACTTTAGAACTGTTATGTTTTTCTTCCTCCACATCCGGCCATCATTCCAAAACTCTTTCTGTGGAAGAGCAGCCTGCTCAAACAGAAAGCATTGTGTCTTATCAAAGTGTTCTTATTGGGCGGTTGATTTAATTACAGTAATAATTGAGCCTTCTCTGGAAATCTATCCTTCACAAACAAAACATCACCGTCTATGTTTAGCTAGGTAACCCACCTTACTACACTACACTGGTAAACCACTTCATTGTTCATTCCTCCTCTCTGTGGTTATCTCTTTGTCATTCACCTGTGTTAGCTATGTCAATTCCCCCCCCCCCCCCCCACCTATTCCAGTCCCCTCACTGCCTCTTTTTGGATACCTCTACCTCCCACCACACACCCCACCCTTATTGTTGTGTATTAAAAACAGCCTTTCATGTGGGGAAATAGTTAAGATACAGTACAGTCCTGTTGATGTATTTCTAGAACCCACAGTACACTCCTGTGTGTTTCTCTATCAATATTGTCTGAACTTTTATCTCTTGTGGCAGAGAGGTGGTTTGATCCGGTTTCCCCTGTTCTGGGGAGGGACTGGGATGGGGGCCGGTCTCCCTAAAGGCTGTGCTCTCAACTGTATTATGTATGCCTTAGATTGTGTGTGGCATCCACGTATTTATGGAGGGGAAACTGGTCAATTAGCCTTTCACAATTAACCACTCACCTCTGCTAAAGCACTGCTGCTCACTGGGTACACACACACACACGTTGCATACATAAACCCTGATGATGTGGTGAACATCAGTGGAGGCTGCTGAGGGGAGGATGACTCATAATAATGGCCGGAATGGAATGGTATCAAACATGGTTTTCATGTGTTTGTTACCATTCCGTTTACTCCGTTCCAGACATTATTATGAGCCGTCCTCCCCTCCGCAGCCTCCACTGGTGAACATCACAGTTCTCTGATTTGCAGATAAGGCCATGCAGGCGTGAAATGCAATTAGTGCACAGATAGAGGCAGCATTACTGCAGATGCCAAACTCTTTACCTTTCATAGTATTCAGTTGGAATTAGCTTTGTAATAAACTTGCCACACTTTGTTTTTGTGGTTTTCTGGACAAATGCCTGACTCCCACTGTTTTCTGTTCAGCTAGGTTGGCAATGAACACAGGAATTTACTAAAGCAATAAGGCCCGAGGGGGTGTGTTATATGGCCAATATACCATGGCTAAGGGCTGTTCCACGCACAACGCAACGCGGAGTGCCTGGATACAGCCCTTAGCCGTGGTATATTGGAAATATACCACAAACCCCCAAGGTGCCTTATTGCTATTATAAACTGGTTACCAATGTAATTAGAGCAGTAAAAATAAATATTTTGTCATACGAATGGTATACGGTCTGATATACCACGGCTTTCAGCCAATCAGCATTCAGGGCTCGAACCACCCAGTTTATAATGTAAGTTAGTTTGATGGATGTCTTCTGTTCTGTGTATCACTCCCAACAGAACTACTGAAGCAAGAGCTACTGAGAAAGGAATGATTGGAATGTGTGAGAATGATAAGGACTGAACAGGAATATGCTAGCACTGTGATACAAACGTATCTGTGTTGTGCTGGCCCAACTTTGTTTTAAAGAGCCTGTTACATTTAAGTTGTGGGAAAGACTGTAGTGCAGTTAGTTTTAATGATCAGTGTTAGCTGAATAGGGTCAGTATGGAGGGGTATTCTTTTCTTTGTTGTTTAATCATAGATAGCCTATTATCCCACAACATTACAGCATATTGGTTTGTAGGGCGGCAGGTAACCTAGAGGTTAGAGCGTTGGGCCAGTAACTGAAAGGTCGCTGGTTCGAATACTCGAGCTGACAAGGTGAAAAATCTGTCTGTGCCCTTGAGCAAGGCACTTAACCCTAATTTGCTCCAGGGGCACTGTACTACTATGGCTGACCCTGTAAAACAACACATTTCACTGCACCTATCCAGTGTATGGGACAATAAAACATATTTTATATTTTTTTAAATAATTGCTTTGCTATTGAATATCCAGAGATAACAGACAAGAACTCCCTGTATATCTATACACATACTATTATTCAAGGACAGGAATGAGCTAGAATTACTATCTGTTATTGTAAGACTACACAAGGGCATTCTCTGTGTGAAGAATGGTTTTTGTTGTTTTCTCAGAAGTACTACATCGTTTGTGTGACTGAATATCAAGAGTTATGAAAGGAACTTATTTTGTTTTTGCATGTTATTGGGAATCCATTTCCTTTCCCAAACTCTTTACTTTAAGCTACTACATCCCAGTTCTATCTGTGATACATTTTCCATATGTTTCCACACTTTTGCAGTAATAATAATTTAGTTAACTTTTATAGTGCTAATTCATTTACGTTTGTGTTCTTTAGTATTTTGTACAAAGCACTTTGCAATAATATTTCCATACCAGTAGTCTGTTTGTACAGTACGCTATGTCCTGCCAGTATTCCAGTTTTTCCTGATAGCAAACCAGTCAATATTGACAGTACCGAGGAAGACTGGGCTGTCCACACCTGTGGTTATGGAATGC